GTAATTGTTGGGATGCCCCGGAGAAACCGGGGAAGCCCCCGGAGGAAAACTCCGTGTTGCCTAGACCACGGCCTTGCCCAACACAAGTTATAAATTCGGGCACCGCCGGGAATCGAACCCGAGACCCCAAGATTACAAGGCCAGCGTTCTAACCGCTATACCGCTTGTACGAAAGGAGAGACGGTTATACAAATTATTTAAATATTAATTATCTAGGACCAATACATTGTGCTATGATGGACCCATTGTGAACACACATATCACTAACATATGAAGTTTTATGATTGAACCTATATCACAAGATTTCAATTTGTTTCCTCGGTGGTCTCATTCTGTTTACAAATTTTCACCTATGTTCCCGTTAGGCTACGTAAATTCTGTCGGTGAATATTGCCACACTCCGTTCCTTCTCCATGGTTGTAATATCAACATGCATACAGTATTACGTACATATTTTATAGGAAGGTCTGTAATCTGGTACTCACGTATATTTAATAATTTTATATCCAATTCTTTGTTTCTTATCGTCATTAAATCGAAATTAAAGCCAGGCTTCTCACGCCGGGCACTGTATTGTTTTAAATTCTGTTAAATATGTCAGAACAAAAGCTGCATACGAAATTTTAATACCTGCATGATATAGCGGTTAATATGTTTTTAATCCGAAGGTACGTTACATTAAATTGAACCGAACCAACATTTTCGTCATTATTATCATCATTATCTGTAGTCAGGAGTTTGAAACTACGGATGTGGAGTGGCCTTTAGCGTCGAGATGTTCTCCACTAATGTAATAGATGTTAGTTCAAAAGTTGGGGGGCGCAGGCAGCAGATAGAAGAGCAGATGCCCAGGCGTAATGTCGTAAGATGATTTTTATAAAGTGTTAAAGCTTTTTCATTTTTGAATTGGACAATGAAACAATGTTTTGTCTTAGGAGTTCAACTCTTTGTCGTTTCCTTTGTAGTCAGTAAGACTAGACAACTGTGAAAAATGCGTCATTCGCCGTTTAAAGAAATAATGAGATCTTGGTTTTGGACGACTAGACCGCTTGTGGAGCAAGTCTCTTTCAGACTGAGTTGCCAGAATACTTTTCCTTGTCTGTCATGTTTTCTATGAACAAGTGTCTCAAAGGGAACACACAATGAGGAGTCCCTAAAAAACAAAGTAATTTATTTGAGAATAAGATGACACGTGGATCTTTTAACCTTCTAAATGTCTGAACTAAAGCATTGCATTGTTATCAAATAAGTACAATCATAATATTTTTATTTATTTAGTGTTCTGTCTGACGAGAGGCCCATATGAACAGGATCCTTCCATCCTTTTCTCGGACTGGGACCTGTTCATATAAGTTCTTGGCAGATGATCCAGAAGTGGTTTGCCATTGCCTTCTTCTGTGTGTGAATGGAGTAATTGTTGGGATGCCACGGAGGAAAACTCCGTGTTGCCTAGACCACGGCCTTGCCCAACACAAGTTATAAATTCGGGCACCGCCGGGAATCGAACCCGAGACCCCAGGATTACAAGACCAGCGTTCAGTTGTCACTAGATTCCTTTATGTAGCGATACTTAGAATGAGGGCATTTAACATGTTAGTATTTCATCTTGTCTGTATATCACATGTTCTGGTATTTAAAGAAATTACTCTTACTGTTACAGATGACATCCCTCTGCGCAATCTGTCCTCACTGCTTCATCCAGACACCAACACGTACCTTCACGACACCCTCAGCTACTGGCCCTTTAATGAGACGTACCATCTTTCTAAATTCGAAGATTTCGACCACACACATTTTGATGGTAAGTTGCATTTATTTTTGATAATATTTTAATATTTTCCGTCAAATCAAAATTCCAATTTGTAAATCGATCATTCGATGCGGAACGTGAAATGATATTTTAAATATTTTATATTTTATTATCTTATTAAAAATTGTGATTTGACGGAAAATATTAAAATATTAACCTACTTCACAATATGACGCAAATATACTACCTTATTTTTGATTTTTAAATCTGAAACTTTTAGTAAAGCATTAAAGAACATTTGTTATGTATTTCCAAAGCAGCTCACAGTTTGACTGATGGTGATAGAACAAATCGACAATACGAGATCTTCTGTCAGTGGCACAACTCAGACGATAGGGAGACTGCGAAATGTCCTCTCGAATGACAGATATGAATATTTGTGGAAAATAATACGTAATATACGATCTGTATTAGCTTGGGAAAATCCCAGTTTTCCCATGCAGGCATAGAAAGTTTCTGATTACGTAATTTTACCCATCCTCCACTTCTGGACATGCAACATACTGGCACGACCTCTCAATTATGCGTGCATTTAATGAGCATTGAACAGATATTTCTTACGAACTGAATGTAGCAACAAGCCCAATGCTTCAGGGTCTTGGTTCTGCAAAACTTGAAGGGTCATTTGTCATTTGCTATGCGATGTTTGTATTATGGCATGGACAGAAGGATTCACTGAAGCGAAGTCCTTGAAGGCGTCCACGCAGCACGCAGTGTTGAGTCCTTTGTATGAGACTATACAATTGTTTATCAACTACCCAAGACATGATGGCGTCGAATTATGACGAGGAAATGGCGCGCAATGGAATGGAATCTCAAGGCGGGCAGACGAAACACGGCTTATTGTCCGAGTATAAATTTACGCCGTTCATCACTGCTGTCTGAATTGTCACGGTATACAAAGCGTCTCTCCAGATTTTGTGCTCATATTAACGTTAGCTCCGGCGCCTTAGCGGAAATAACTTCGGCCTCAGTTGCAATTTACAAGACGAGCTTAATTCCAGTCCGCGTACATACATACGGCAATTTTCGTTCAGAAATGTGTTCTTTAATTACAAAATTGCACGTTCCCTCATATAAACCGCGGATTGTAAATTGTGTGTGTCTGTGCTACTTCTCCTTGTAGTAATTTCAGTCAGGAGAGAGAACAGTAGGGAAATTAATCTTTCTTTGGCCGACTCTCATTGAAAATTTTCGCTTTTCTTACCACCCCACACAACCAGCGCAATCAGTCAAGAGGCATTGGTACAGTCAGCGCTGTATACGGTCCCTGTATTAGGGCCAACTAACCAGTTCCACGGAACAATTCTTCCTGAGAATCCAGTATTTGTTCATGTAGTGAAGAAATTTCCCTGCTTTCATGGAACCCAAAACTTCATTAACGAAAACGCGAGAGAGTGCCACGTGTCCAAATCCCCGAGCCTCGTGAATCCATACCACACCCTCGAGCTATATTTTGTGAAGCCTAATTTTTGCATTAAAGTCACATCTACTTTCAGGTCCTTCAAGCAGTCTCTTTCTTTCAGACGTTTGGACCAAACGTTCAGACGCCTTTTTGTCTGCCTGTTGCTTGGTTTATTTCGTGTCGATAATGTTCATCTTTATTACGTTATGCTCATAAATATTTCACGAAACGTAGACATAATGAATCTCATAGTTTTCTGTTCTCCAGTTTCCTGCCATTTCGTCTTTCTGAGTCGAAATATTTTCCTCTGCATGTTGTTTTCAAATCTCATCATATTTACTTAAACTAATTTCACGAGTTCAAGTTTCATACTCATACAAAACTGAAGGAAAAATTAGAGTTGTATTTTGTTTAATATTTTAAGTTCGTAGTTTAGAGATTGGAAGACAAATGATTCTGAACTGCAAGCATTCCCCGAATTTAATCCACTCTTAATTTCTTTGAGAGACATGGAGTTATGACTGGATTAAACTGGCTTAGATCAAGTCAAACTCGAAGAATATCGTAAAGCTTGGAGTAAAATTGCAGTATAGATTTATAGCCGGTTGGGAGACTAGTCTGTAAGTTCCGCCGAACTAACATAGAATTCTTGCCCTCCTCTTCCAATCGTGTTTCCATTTAATCTGTAATCACCTCCGTTCCCTATTATTTTGCTCACATAAAAATTTATTTCGATACCTGCGTTTCTCACCACGTGGCGCTGAAAATTTTTTCTATTCATGAGAATCGACTGTGAGAGTCCGTGTCGAGGCAGGCAGGAAAATTTCGCAAGGCCCTGAAGAATATCACAGGAACGAAAACGTATTTATTATTGGCATATTTCTGTAACTTTTAGTACGATGAATTTTTTTTTTTGGTCCCCGAGTAATGCGCGAAGTACACGATTTTAAAATGGCACTTGTTTTAAAGTTTGGTAAACGACCTAAGTTTAATATTCTTCCTGTGTTTTTGGCAATTTGCTGGGGGCTTCTTGAATAACAGCCAAGACAAAGTACTGAAGTTCGTTCATATTTAAACGTATTTAGCACCACATTTCTTTCCCACTGTCGAAATCTTCTCCACGTTAAAAATTTAGGAAGAGGGGTTCAGAAACTGAGAATACTACACAACATCTATTAGTTATATTAGACTCAAAACATGTATTTTTCTGACGTTCACACTCAGTGGAGTATTGGACTCAGATTCGAGAACTTTTTAGTTCAGTTATAAACGATTAAACAAAACCTAAGAAGTAACGAACGTTAACTGGCTCTTAATTGAGTTTGTGAATGATGAATGGTGGTTGCCCGAAATTTCGAGACCATTGCCTGACATCCTCTTACCCTCTAAAGCGCGATACAATGTGTCACAACTGTTTTAAGTTTTGGAAATTATGACTGAATATCCTCTGCGATATCTGATACGGATTTCCGAACGGTAGACTTATTCTTATAATACGAGGCTCGTCCTTAAAGTAAGTTTCCCTGGGGCCGTTTACAGAAACAAAACACAATTTCATGGAAATATTTATTGCAACAGATACAGCAAGTGTCCAGCTATTTTTCAACATATTCGCCACCGGAATTGAGACATTTGTCATACCGTGGGACCAACTTTTGAATACCTGTGTCGTAGAAGTCTGCCGCCTGGGATTGGAACCACTGTGTGACAACCATCTCCGCCTCTCTGTCATTCTCAAAACGCTGACCGGACAGGAATTTCTTGAGGTGTAGGAAAAGATGGAAATGACTGGGAGCGAGGTCCGGGCTGTAGGGTGAATGATCAAACACCTCCCAGCTGAACTCCTGCAGGAGACTCGCTGTCCGAGTCGCTTCGCGCAATATAAGGTTTGCTAGCTGTGGGACGAGTGGGAAACTTACTTTTGGGACGCGCCTCGTAGTTAGCATATTACGTATAATTTCTTACGATTTGTTCTGATTTTTGAAAATATTTTTCTCTAGCATGTATTTTTGATGCTGTTGAGAAACTATGCCATGCACGAAGCCGTGAAATGATCTTGCCACCTAGCACTGAAATACGACCTGATATCACTGCCGAGTAGTTGGCACTCTACATCTTGGTTTTATGATTATCCTCATTTCCTCGAAGCAAATGATGAATCAGCACCCCAAATTTGGCAGTCATCACTTCTACATCCATTCAATTCGTTATGACTTGTCCCTGTATAATCTGATCCATTGAAAATGTCGTAAGTAGAAAAAAAAATAGTGATGCTCCCGGATGGGGGTCGAAGTAACAGAGGGAATATTCGGAGAAGGGCGCTTCTCTTACTGGAACTGAACTTACAAAATCACAGAAAATTACCAGTCAAAATTACGACCTTCATCTGACATGTCTCCTTCAGCACGACGTTCTTCTATTCAGAAACAGTTCCTCCGTGATAGAAAACGGAATGTGCTCATTTGAAAAGATTATTTGATTAATGCTGGTTGTGGAAACAGTCGTTGTTTGTTCTGAGAACAAACAACGCTGCAACGACGCCAAACTGGTCTACAAGCTTGGCAAAAAAAAAAGAGGTCACAGATGAAATTCTATGTACCTGCCATTTGACATAAATGTTCTGAGAACAATACGAAACCCACTCTATAGGCAAAACGAGAATGTGAAGATGTTGATCGCTCCAGCAGATGTTAGTGTTCATTTGCCACTACGCTTTTAAATGTTGATTCGAAAATTCGTTAACCACAAGATTGTACCCTGGAATATTAAATCCACAAGGTCTACTTTCTTTTGATGTAGTGCCTTTTAAACTAGCCCCTTCTTTTTATATAATCTTTCAGTTTTGTATCCGCCTTTGAATAATTTTTTCTGACGTATTTTGCATACCGGAAATCAGAGGGAAAACAGACCTCTTGTCTTTATTTGATTTATTCAACAAATATACCGATTGGATTCGATGAGCTATGTTTCCTGCTTTCTTGTAAACTTTCTCTTTTTCCCTGGGACAATGCCGAGTCGTGGTTGGGCGTGCAGACAGAGACGCCGTGCTGTTTTCTCTTCCGACCGCTTCAGGGAGCAAGTGGGCAAGAATTGCTGTGGATACAGAGCTTTCGTACTCGGAAACAAAATTTAGTCTACAAAATATGAAAAGTGAACATCAATGGTCTGGCTCTCTTCAAACGCCACGTATTATATATTTTTCTTAACAACATCCACACAGACACCTACAGTCCAACATTTGTACTCTGATTGACCGCTCCATTCCCGAACCAGGACTCTCCTTGGTTCCCGTCATCCACGACTTCCACCTTGACCTGAGGTAGAATCCTTCTCTTCAGCTGTCCGTACTCGCCGATGAAGGTCCACTGAGGTTACGTTAGCAGTGTTACTAAGGTAAGAGTCTGGCCCATACGCCTATATTATGTAGCCTTCCCCTCGTGTTTTACAATTAGCTTATTCCTTTCAACATTTGATTGCAATTTCAATTTCGTCTCGGAAGTTTGCATCCTCGCCGTGTTGGTAAAGAATTTTAAACGTAGGAGCGGTGTTTACATGGATTTTAATTAATATTCGTACAGGAAAACGA